GCTGGTCATGTCTTAGGTTCCACTCAAACCCACTAGGGGGGGAGTGAGCTGTAGCGGTAAATAATTCCCCAAAATTATTGACCACAGCAATCATCACTCAACATTGGATGCTGACCATCACTGTTTAAGTCGACTTGTTTAGCTGAAGGCTTACGGTCAAGCATCCCCGCCATTTGGTGCTCCGTCGTGTCACGTGCGTGCACGATTACTAGCTAGCTAAGCATTCACCTCTACCCGCGATTTTGTCCTGAAATATAATACGTACTTTGGACGACAAAATCTGGTCTTTTGCTTTACCATTTGGGACTCGAAGAACGAACACTATAGTGGTTGTTGGTATAAGATCTTGCGTTAGTATAATCCGTACAACTCGCGAACGTTCGAATACCCGCAGTCCTAAAGATCTTTTGGTTTGCATAATATTGAATTAAGCGATTTTACTGGTTTGTGTGCTATATCTATATCTAACGGTTTCAGTATTCTGGCTGTTATTTCAGAGATATTCCTCATGTATGGTAGAATGAATTTTCTTGTGGTCTTTGATGATGGTTTCTTGATGATGTTTTGATTCGACTTTAAACACTTTTTGATGAAATTTTGTGGATAACCATTCTTTTTGAAGACCGTTTGTAGGTACTTTTCTTCCATTCTTTTCAACTCTGGAGTGCTACAATGTGTCTGAACTCTTTTAAACAATGTCTGCACACAGTTTCGTTTGTGAGTAACTGGATTATTGCTAGTATATTGCTAGTTGAGTATTTGATCTGTGTGCGTTGATTTTCTATAAACTTGTGTCTCTAAATCTCCTGTGTTGGTTCTCCTGATTAAGACATCTAAAAATGGGATTTTGTTATCTAATTCTTCTTCTCTTGTGAATTTGATGTCTTCAAATATGTTGTTTATTAATTTATGAGTATATTCTAAATCACTTCTCTTAATTATTACAAATGTATCATCAACGTAACGTATCCAGATTTTCGGTTTAATTATAGGTAGAGCTATTAATTCTAATCTTTGCATAACGGCTTCAGCTATTATTCCTGATATGGGCGATCCCATTGGTGTCGATTGTGTAGTAAATCTATCAAAAGAACCATTATCATAAGCAGAAGAACAACTTCTTCAGAATGGACCCAACTACAATACTGGTGACGCTTCAGTAACAGATTTTTGTGCTTCCTTAGAATCATCACTCAAATTATCAAAATTAAATGAGGAAGTACAACAAGAAGTACGTCAATGTATCATACCTATACTCAAACAGAAAAGACATAATTCCCAACTTAGCACTGAAGAGCAAAATGCATTGAAGAAACTGAAGAATAGAAAAGATATAGTTATCCTACCGGCTGATAAAGGAGGAACAACAGTAATCCTGGACACAGAAGACTACATAAAGAAAGCAGAGGATTTACTCAAAGATAATAATGTATATCAACAGTTGACAAAAAACCCTATACAAACATTAGATAACAAAATCAAAACAACGTTAAATAAACTAACGAAATCAGGACAAATTATAGAACAGGATCAATGGTGAATGAAATCTAACGGAACTATTTTACCTCGATTCTATGGTAGACCAAAACTACACAAACCAAATATTCCCTTAAGACCAATTCTTTCGCTTCCAGGAACACCAACATATAATCTATGTGAAGAACTTTTCAGGAAATTAAATTACCTAACAGAATCATGCGACCATTCTATCAATTCGTCAATCCAATTTTTAGAGAAAAATATTCAAGTAGAAGACAATGAAATAATGGTGCCCTTTGATGTCACAGCATTATATACTTCAATTAGTCCAAAATTAGCAACAGAAACTATGCAACAATCACTCTATAGTGATGAAAAAACAAAACCGCAATAATCAACTTGGATAGAACTCATAAAATTATGCCTTACAACATAATTCCAGTTCAATACTCAAATATATCAACAAATAAAAGGAACAAAAATAGGATCGCCCATATCAGGATTAATAGCTGAAGCCGTTATGCAAAGATTAGAATTAATAGCTCTACCTATAATTAAACCGAAAATCTGGATACGTTACGTTGATGATACATTTGTAATAATTAAGAGAAGTGATTTAGAATATACTCATAAATTAATAAACAACATATTTGAAGACATCAAATTCACAAGAGAAGAAGAATTAGATAACAAAATCCCATTTTTAGATGTCTTAATCAGGAGAACCAACACAGGAGATTTAGAGACACAAGTTTATAGAAAATCAACGCACACAGATCAAATACTCAACTAGCATTATACTAGCAATAATCCAGTTACTCACAAACGAAACTGTGTGCAGACATTGTTTAAAAGAGTTCAGACACATTGTAGCACTCCAGAGTTGAAAAGAATGGAAGAAAAGTACCTACAAACGGTCTTCAAAAAGAATGGTTATCCACAAAATTTCATCAAAAAGTGTTTAAAGTCGAATCAAAACATCATCAAGAAACCATCATCAAAGACCACAAGAAAATTCATTCTACCATACATGAGGAATATCTCTGAAATAACAGCCAGAATACTGAAACCGTTAGATATAGATATAGCACACAAACCAGTAAAATCGCTTAATTCAATATTATGCAAACCAAAAGATCCAACAGAAAAAGGAGATAAAATTAATACCACCTACAAAATAAATTGTATGAACTGCAACAAACATTACATTGGCCAAAGTGGGCGTCCCCTTCGAATCAGAATCCAAGAACATAAATCAGCCGTGAAAAGACATGATATAAATTCTTTAGTATCAATGCATACAGATAATTATGGTCATCAATTTGATTGGGATCATGTCAAAATCTTAAACAGAGGAAACACGAAAAGTGCCAGAGAATTACTAGAATCCTGGTACTCAAGCGAAAATGCGATTAACAAACACGTTAATATAGATGAAATATACCAATTAATAAAAAGTAAATCAGATGACCAAAAAGTTTAAAATCTAAGTCAATAGAAAGTGGTCAATACACATGTAAAGATAGTAACCAGGAGACGCAGTTACATCACGCATGAAGAAATTTAAATCATTTCACTTTGTGCTAAATATGGCGCTGAAGATGTTGCCCAGAAGGACGACGAAAGCTTCGCAACTAAACCAACCAGCCCAGAGAACACTTTTAATTGCAGATCATCCATCTGAGCTACAAATCATATCATATATTATTATGAGCAATAGTTTGTGCTCGAAACGTCCTCAGTTAATATAACTGTACAGCACTGTGTGATTTATCAAAATAAAATCTTATCCTTTATGGAATTATACTCTACCACAGTGCCCAAGTTTTATACTTATATCTTCTCTATTGCTGGTGTATGTTGTTGTTGATTGGTTATTTTCATCATCTCCGTCTTCTTTATTTTCATTTCATGTTCAATCTTCTTTCCTTCTCCTGCAAACTGTGACTGGTTTAACCACAATGGTTTTACTTCCTAATATAGACAGAATAAAGTGACCTTTTGAAATTCTATTTGAATGAAACAACTTCATTTTAACAGGATATTGGCTGGGTTTGATTTGATTCACATTTTTTTCCATTCTTCTGCTCATTTCTACTGGTAGCGATCGTTATGTTATGACCTGAGACTGCAAGGTCCACAAGTAATAAACAGTGCAATGCGCGTCATCTTTTAGACGCTAGTCATAATGTAGTCAACTTGAAGTCATTCAACAAGCAAAAGAAACCTAGCTTGCTACGCTTAGCTGAAGCAGTTGCTATCAGACGACTTAAACCAAATCTATGTACGCAGGTATATACAGTGGTGAATCTTGCACTGCCCTGATGACAACAAAATGTACAACTTTTGTGAGTCACCCTTTCTCTTGTTTAGAAAACTCTACTCTCTCATCTAAACATGACTCACCCTACCTTGTTCTTTTCTTTTTTAATAGCTATTAGATAAAACATTTTCTTTAGTTATGTAATCTACTTTTTTGTTATGCTCTTTCGAGCTAAACCTTGTTTCTATACACATATACACGCAATTCTGTTTTCTGTTTGCAAGCCTAATCGTCAAATTATTTTATAAATAGTCAGTGTTTGTAACTCTTAATTAGTTAAATCATTCCGGACTAATGTTACTTTTACTTTCTACCAATTACTCCTTGTGATCGTAGAAAAGTATGTTCAAATCTTTAACGTAATGCAATTCATATTTTTTATCTTTCAGGTTGTAACCAGTTGAAAAGTACCCTTGAAATAATAAAAGATGAGCTCATATTATCCTGGTACAATTGTTGTTCTTGCTTTCTTCAAGAAAAAAACAAACAAATATTCGATAAACTTATACAGAATAATAATTATAATAATAATACTAACAAGGATAATGAAATAAATTCAACAAATATGAGTTTAACTGATACCGGAGTTATCGTAATGAATACAGTTGAGATTATTATTATGATTATTTATTTCGGAAGGAAGGAAGAAGGAAAAGTCCTAATTCAATTTAATTGAAGTGCATTCATCCTTCTAAGATCTGTCTTTCAATAAGGATTGACTTATAATTCACAAAAATGAGTAATGACCAATAAAACAGCCTACATTTATTCAATTAAACTATTGAGTTCAAACACACAAATAGGATTGTTCAACTAGTGTTTTCGTATGTTAAAAATAATAATTATAATGATAGTTGTATCCCCTCCCCCTTTATGTATCATTCCACATGGAATTAATTATTAAACCAATAGAATTCCTACGAATACATCTCCCTACCTTGAAAGAATAAACGAACACTTATAAATAGATCGCGTATGAAACTTGTTAGCATATCCCCTGTCTTTATCTCATCCTTTTTTTAATCACAACTGTATTCTCACTTCTACTCACAATAAAATAATAATGACTAAGACTCATCAGCTGCTGATACCATTTCTATTCATAAATCTATTTATCTTATTATTATTATTCAATGTCCAATGTTTATCAACTGGTGAACTACTGATTCATACAAATAGATATAAAAAATCTTTTAAAATGATACATTATTTAATTAGACAATGTGCACCGTATTGTTTTAATTCTGGACAACTTGCTAAACCTGATATGCCATGGAAAAAGTGTTATTGTCTCTGTCCAACTGGATATTATGGTGTTGCGTGTGAATTCAATGATGAATTAGACCATTCAAACAATATACTACCGCGTATTCAAACTATCAAGTATAATCTATTGCCAATCGCCAGTAATAATAATAATCAACGCCAACAACAACCACAACTACAACCGCAGCAGCATCGACAAGTATCTTTAGAATCATCAATAATGAATAATGATCAAGATAATGTTGAAGAACGATTGATTATTTTAAAATGAAATGTAATTATTATTATTTATATATGAGAATAAAAATAAACAATCACTTTGTTATGTCATCAAAAAAGTAAATATCTACTTCAATAATGAGTAAAAAGTAATACTTTAGTTTGTTTATTTTCGTTTTCAAGTACTTTTTTCATTTTATATATATATTATAATGTAGTTAAAGGTTAATAATGTTGATTTGATTTGACCGCCACATTCAATGGTTTCAATTGCTTTTATGTATAGGTATATTCATGAATAACTAATGTGACTTTCAATATTAACTTGGGTTCTAAGTGGAACATAGGACATCAACAACATACCTCCAGGTTGTTCTGTTTTATGCTGTCCTGTTTCAGCTGGCTCAACGACTGATAATCATAAGATGTAATCCTCTCCTCTCCATACGATCTCCTCCACCTGACATGTCGTCTCCCACTCAGATTCGAGTCGTTTCAGACCCACCTCCATTTCCTTTGGCTTATTTCTTCGTCAATTTCTTGCTGCTAATTCTTTCAGGTTGGGCATTTGATCTTCAATAACGTGACAGCGAAGGTAGCTGTTGATAGAAGTCTGCAGCTGGCTGTTGGCAATGCTTTTTGTAACGTAGTCGCCAGGTTCCTGACCCATGTTGAATAACTGACAGGATTCACAATAGAGGTGAAAATTCGAATCCCTTTTTGTTTATGCTGAATGCAGCAGATATCCACAGTGTTCTTGAAATCCTGATCGGTTCTGTCTACCATCTAGAGAAGTGAAGGAAGCAGCCTCTTTCAGATTTCTTTCGTTGATAGTGACTGGTGTTTGTAGTTGTTTTTCAGGCATCTTCATCATCTCCTTCTTCTCTACCTGTATTTGAATTCCTGTCTTCGCTGCTTATATACCGGACTTTTGTTTTTCACCTGTATCTCATCGAGTTTGTGTTACATTAGTCATGAATCACCCGTTAATTCTGGACCTTCTAGAGCTCCTTGTCGGTCCATCGTAGGTTGATCCTCTTGCTTCCCGCGCGCGGTTTTCCGCATTATCCAGTTCACCATAATCGGAAATATCATCACTGATAAGAAGCAGTCTGCCTTGTATTGCTCTTCTATTCATTTCAAAACCTTCGCTGAGTTTTCCCTTGTGGATTCCCAGTGTCATACAGCTGCTGAATAGGAGGTGGCAAGAATTTGGGGCACTGCACTCAATATTGTTGAAGTAGTTTCCAAATTACTTCACGGTTAACGCTGTCTGTTGACGACCTTTTCACAGTCGATGAAATTGAGACAGAGATTTGACTACCATTCTACGCCTTGTTTGATGATGATGCGTACAGTTCCAATTTGATCCGCACGTGCTTTTCTTTCCTAAATCCAGCTGGTGCCGGCGAGAGAAATTCCACATCCATTGCATCTTTTATCCTCTCCTGGATGACACCACTAAACAATTTATTTGGCGTGAAAAGATGCATTATACCGCACCAGCTTTTCCAGAGGCTTAAACAGCCCCTCTTTCGTAGTTTGAAAAGGTAGTCTTTTTTCCAACCAGTAGGCACCTTTCCTTCTCATTGACTTCTCTGTGGCTCATCTTTGGTAATCGGGCTCCTTCAGACATATTTTATTGACCTCATCACTGTTCATGGCTTCCCGGATAGAGACTTGTTTATCTGAAATAATGTTATGAGGTATCCTCTACCTGCGGCCTACCTGTTCCACTTCAGTCTCCATTGTGTCGTAGAATTATCTTTTATCTTTCCTTACACTCGTCTTCACTTAATTATTCAGTGAGCTGTACGTTGAACTCAGCCCCTTCCTCTTTTATCCATCTTAGCATTCCTTCATCGTCTTTTCCATCATCTCTCTCTCCTCTGTTAGCTCCCAAGCATCCATGGAAATCCGTCGCTAGTCTCCCCTCTTCTTCCTTCCCAAAACAGCTATACAGGTTTCCTTCGACATCACTTTCAGAGAGTTCCACGCAGGTTTCCTAAATGATTTTACGTAAAGTCTCCCTTGTAGTTTTGCCTCTCAGTTTTCTGAGTGTTGAACTTGAACTATGGTCTGTCTGCAGTTGCTTTGAAGACTCTCAGGTTCACTCTGAAGGTCCCTTGAACTAGATGATGGTCTGAACCAGAGGCGGCTTCTATTTGTGTCCAGTAGACTGTGTCTCCACTTTCTTGAGATTGAGGTGAAATCTGTCTGGTGTTTAGGAGTGTCGTCAACGGATATCCATGTTGCCTTGTGTACATCTTTGCGTTTGTACACGCTGCCTTTGATCAACAGGTAATCGAAAGGCAAAAGTCCGCGAATAATTCTCCATTCTCATTCATTTCCCTGACAGCCTCTTGACCCATGATGAGTTCACTTTTTGTATTGTCTGCTCCCAGTTTAGCATTCATACCAGCCATAAGGATTTAGATGTCACCATTAGGTATGTTGCTCATGTCTATTTGTAGTTGTCTATAAGAATCTTACTTCTTGTCTTGTTCCGCGTTGTTTGTACCACTGTGCGTAGCGTTGGATAATTGTAACCGATCTTCCTTCCTTTTGAGTTGAATTTCGCTATCATGATCCTGCATAAAATCGGTTTTCACTGGTGACATCATTATAGCCACTAACGGCCTCAGTGTGTTCGTGGTTTTCGTCTGGGTGACAAGAGTGGAGTAGATTGGTGATTCTCCAGTTGACAATTTCGATAATACACATCCATTCCATCTGCTTTCGCAAATATCCAGCACTTCTGTGCCAAATCATCGGCATCCTTCTCAGCCTCGTGCATTGTAAATACATTCCACGTCCCCATTCTTATTCTTTCTTCCATCGAGAGAAGACACATTAGTTAGCTGACTGGCCTCTCAAAGTCTTTTGCCAGTCAGCGCTATGCGTCATTTCTGGTGTTATACAGCAATATTTACTGGAATTCTACTAGTGAACCACAGAGAATTCACTTGGACACAATAGTGTGCACGTCACATACTCACCAGATGTTTCCAATACACACCCTAGAAACTTCAGTCTCAGTTTGTTATTTACCAGTAGTCTTTCACATACGACATATATATATATATATGCATATACAATTTCGTGATGATTTTAGGGATCACTAGCAATGCATCTAGACCAACAAAAATACTCATCTTCGAGTGATAAACGTACACAGTCACTAAAACTACAAACTGCTGTCTTCTAAAACGGATGCAATTCAAACGTCACCATATATTAATCCTGTATAGTGCTGAGTCCAGAGAAATCCTCAGGAGAAATGGTTCTTATAAACACTTAATTAGTGACCGAATAAGCTTGACAGTAATGAAGACATCCTTGTTAATGAAACTCCTTATAGTAAATTGTCACTTCTCACTACAGATTTTAAAAAATAGTTGCCTTAAATATGTCTGCATAAATTTCATTTTCAGCTTGGAAATATCACTCAAGTAACGAAAAGTGGTAAATATATATAGTTGTAAGCATAACAGAGAAGATTATTGGCTCATGTGGATAATATTGATTTGGTTGTGTTTTCTGAGATTTTATTTATTTTTATTTTATCCCTGTTTATTCCCAGTGGAACACAGGGCTACAAGCTAGAGGCTTGAAGTTTCAGTAACAGTGTATTTATTTTTACGGGATAGGGTTGCTAGCCTCATGCCCAACCGTCATTCTTTACTGGCCTTACTGCCAGCTTAGCGTGAGTTTAGGCGTACGTCAGCTGAGGATCGAACCCCGGCCCACATGCGTGATTAGCGAGCATACTACCACTGTGCCACCAATGCAGTGTCCTCTGAGATGGCCGATTTAATTGCGAATCCTTCGCTGTCCACCGATGGGATAATATCCTGAGCGCAAGTTCCGGTATGCGATGAGCTTATTTGAATTCTCAACGAATGATGATATAATTGTATCTACCGGCGACCATTGTCGTGAATGGTTGTTAATTCACATATAAATTGGTCACTTTTACTGACTTGGAATTTGAGATTTTTTGCTACGTGATTTATTTTCCATCAGCTAGTAAATTCTGATATGACCATTAAAACACTTAGTAGTTTGTGCTAACGAACTTCCCACCTATTCAATTTGCGAGTTTACTCTTCTAATCACTTTTAACAACAACAAAAACAATGACACCATACGATACCATGGAACGCGCCACACAAGAAAACAGACAATAAGCCTAGAGAGCTTTACTGTCTCAGATCAAAAGCAAAAAGGGTTTACACCAGTTGTATATATATATATGTTTTTATGTGGTCGTGTTCTCTGAGCTGGATAGTTTATTTGAGAAGCTTTCATCACCCTACTAGGTGACATCTTCAGCGCATACTTCAATTTGAAGTGTGCACTGAAGATGTCACCTAGTAGGGTGATGAAAGCTTCTCAAATAAACTATCCAGCTCAGAGAACACGACCACATAAAAATCATCCACCTGAGCTACAAATCTTCTCCATCATATATATATATATGTGCTTTAAATGGCTTTGAGAGACACAAACAGTTGACAGCCAATAGGCTTTAAATGTCATAAGTGGAGGGAGGAAATACAAACTATACTGTAAAGATAAATGTCGTATTCTAGAGAAATTATTTCTATATAAAAAAGATTGGTCTATGGTAATTTGTTTGTTGATCGTTGGTTCATCTGCGTACCAGATATCTAGAAATTCGCTGGCATTTTTGGTGTTTTCCCTGTTCAAAAAGTGCTTAACCTCAAATTGTAACACCAATAAGAAACCATCCTCAACGACCACGCGAAAAATCACTCTATCAAATGTAAAGAATTTCACTGAAATAACAACTAGATTACTAAGACCATTTCAAATACACGTAACACACACACGCCAACCAACACAATCACTTCATTCAATATTCTGTAGACCAGAGTATCAAACAGTACAAGAAGATAAGATCAAGGCAGCATTTACAAAGTAAACTGCATAAACTGTACTAAACACCACATCGGTCAGAGTGGTCGTCCCCTTCTAATCAAAGACACGATATGTATCCTTTCATACTGATGCATGTAGGCAATTAAG